CAGTTTGTGCCCGTTGCCCCTTGTCCTGTCGCTGGGCACCACTGGAAAGAGTCTGGCCCTGTCCTCCTGACCCCCACCCTGCAGATATTTATAAGCATTTCTAAGGTCCCCTCTCAGCCTTCTCTTCTCCAGGCTGAACAAGCCCAGCTCCCTCAGCCTCTCCTCGTAGGAGAGATGCTCCAGTCCCCTCCTCATCCTCGTAGCCCTCCGCTGGACACTCTCCAGTAGCTCCTGATCTTTCTTGAACTGGGGAGCCCAGAACTGGACAGAGTACTCCAGATGGGGCCTCACTAGGGCAGTGTAGATGGGGAGTAGAACCTCCCTCGACCTTCTGGCCACACTCCTCCTAATGCACCCCAGGATCCCATTGGCTTTCTTGGCAACCAGGGCACACTGCTGGCTCATGGTCAACTTGTCACCCACCAGCACTCCCAGCTCTCTCTCCACAGATGAGAGAATGGATGAGCAGTGTATGATGGTGGGAGGGAATGTATATCTGGGAGACAGAGCAGAAGTGTACATCTTGTTTGCGTGCGCCTATAAAAGAGAATGTGTGTGAATTTTTGTGTGTGCTTGTGCACCACATTTCTGGGAGAACTAAAAAAAAAATGAGAAGAGAGAGAAGAATGGGGCAAAAAAGTTGGCAGAGAGAGTTCATGGAGAAGGAACTTTTGTTGTCCAATCATGAAATGGAGATGAGTGTGATTATCTATTCCTGTACGGTCTGAATAGAAATTACTATGAATGTATTAATAATTAGAAGAAGTCAGGAGGTATCGTTTGGTATTTGTTGTATGAATATCGTTAAGTGTAGTAGGTGTCTCATAAAATACTTGTTAGGTACCTCGCCAAGTATTTTCTCTGAATTTACCTCTGCTGCCAGTATTTACATGTGTGATTTTAAATCTGAATTTCTGAAACTGACTTATTGCCAGTATTAACCTCAGGAGTAACCAGTCTTCAGAGAAAGTAATTTCAAATGAAGCATCAAGAAAGCTAAACCAAAATTTTAATACATTCAAGGAAAATATACAGAAAGATACATCAAAACAAATATATACATTTTCAGCATTGCAGTAGATGTAGTTCATACCTTCCTCTTGCTATGTATGTGCTTGTGGACATGCGTGTAATGTATGTGTACGGTAAATGTTCATTTCAGTATGCAGCTGTTGTAACATGTTGACCTGCACAATCCACAGCGAAAGAGAAAGCAGGTGTGTTCTCAATTGTATTGAAAATATAGTTTGTAATTTTTTTGTATTTTTTATTTGTTACAATGCCAGTAAAGTTGATTAAAGCTGGTTTGAAAGGCAAAAACAAGCTGATACCTATTTAGATTTTGTTGTCGTATGAACATTGAGGTTAGTCAAGAATTTTTTATCGTACCAGGCAGTGTTGTTAGGGGCTAGTCTGGCACAAGGCCTCCCTGGAGTGATGGCTGCTCCTTCCCCTGGGGAGACTTCCATTGATCTTAGATCCTCAGTACTCTTCTGCTGTGATGACAGAGGGGTTGACTCTGTGAGTGCTTCGCTGTGATGGTGACTTTAAAATCTACATCCATGGCATAAATAGCTTGGGAAGTCGATAAGGTCCCAAAATGAAGGTCTTCAGCTGTGATTTCCTTGGGACATGAGTGTTGCCCCCCTCTGCCTGCAGGGTCTTGGCGCGCAGGCGGGCTCTCGTGCGCACGAGTTTGCTTTGCTCTCTGCTTTCAGCATCTCGCTGAGATGCTGCTTTGGCAGCAAGGCTGCACCGTGCCGGTGGCAGTGCTGCAAGCGCCACGTAAACGCTACTTTGTGTAGATGTGGGGATGGGTTAAAGAAGGGCAGTGGACAAGGGGACTTACATGAACCAGGCTAAATTCTTGCTTTCTTTATTATTCTTTCTTTCCTGCAGCTCAAGCCAGGTCAGAACAGTTGCCGAGACAGTGACAGTGAAAGCGCCAGTGGGGAATCGAAAGGTTTCCATCGAAGTAGCTCTCGGGAAAGACTCAGTGACGTAAGTAAAACTCCTGCAGCCAGATATTCCTTTGATTAACCCCTGATGTAGTGTTCTGAGGGGTGTAAGTCATTACTGGATTTAGTCTCTGGCATGGTTTGTTGCTCAACTCCCCTTCCCTGTATGGGGCTGGGAGAGGAAGAGGTAACTTGGGTGTCCTGCCCCAGTTCAGTAAACTTCTTAAAGTCTGGTACAATGTCTGTCTGTGTGAAAACACTCCTTCATTTTGAAATACTTGACAGCCATTTAATGAAGTTAAAATGCTCTGCATAGTTGAGAAGTGAGATGGCCTCTTTGTACCCCAAGTGGGGAGGGAAAAGAATGCATTTCTTTGGGCTAAATAATGTCTTTATGAGAAGTACTAGAGTGTCTAGAGAGACTCAGATAATTTATATATAATGAATTGATATAACATGGCCAACAAAAGCATAAGCTCTGCCTTTATTGCTCTACCTAAACTGCTCTGGAAAGTCCTAAGATGGCAGCTCTGTGGAGAATGTTTTTCTCCGCTGAATAATGCTGCCCATTCACTGAATGACACGCATGAGTTATTCCAACATATGAATGACTACAGAAATCTTTCTGTTGCTGAATTAGATTATTATTTATTATGTGTACCATCACAATCCTTGAGTGTTTTATTCATGGCTCTGGATCCTCTATGCTACATGCTTTACAGCACAGAATATAAAGACAGCCCTGTCTCAAAAGAGTATCTAAACTGGGGATTTTGTAAGTCAGATCCTTCACTGGTAAAAGCATGGATAGCTACATAAGACCAATTTGTATCAGCCAACAGTCTGGCCCTGCTTTTCACTAACCCACATTTTGGAAATGGGGATTTTATCGATAGCACGTCCATGTAGATTCGGATGACAGATACCAGATGGTGTCCTCTGTAGGCCAGTCCAATAGAACTGAATTGAGCAGACGTTAAAGGAAATACCTTTGTAAAGGATACATTTCGTTGTGTGAATTTAAGCCTGAAGGTGCACAGCTCACAGTTTTTGCTGAGTTGTGTGTATTACTGGAACAGCCGCCTGATTTTTTTTTTCTGTGAATGTGTGAAATCTGTAGCACTCTCTTTCCTCATCCCTTTGTCACGTTATTGTAGACGTCCATTCCACCCCTAGAGCCAACCTTTATGGGCACATTCAGCTAGACACTTCAGAGTCTGCCCTTCATAGCTGTCAGGTGAGGTCAGTGTCAGGGCTGGAAGATATCTCTGGAAGAGGAGAGTGAAACCAGAGGAGATAGTAAGTAAATGCTCTGTATAGGTAGCAGTGGATGGCAGCTGACGGTCAGCCTGTCGCTGTTGCCATCCTAGCTTGCTCTGAGCTCTACGGCAGCTGAGAAGTCACTGCAATGAACTTCACTATTACACAGCACCTTCCAGCAAAGAATTTCACAGCTCCTTACAAACATGGTTTTAATTTAGCCTTGTCACTCACTTGCAATGTGCTGAGTGGAGAGTTCTGAGGCTTATTTGAGCTTCCCAGCAGCTCGCGGCATTGCAGTGCCAGACCTGGCAGCAAGAGCAGAGACCTGGTTCCCCTTCCACCAATCAAATATAGTTTTTCTCTGATGTTTTTACAATATTTTCCCCTTGTCTTGGCACTCCGGTGAATTAAAAGGAAGTGGAGAGCAAATATAACTTTCCTAGTGCACCCGAGAGAGGACATAGGGATTCACAGGTTGCTCAAAAGGAACATTTTGTAAATATATATGAAAATGTATATTTAAAAATCTTTATACATAATTTTTGTTTTGCTTAATAAGTTCCTTTATGCTTTGATAATTCATTGCAATAAAAGTGTGTCTCTCTATGGTCTGGTGTTGCCAGTCCAGCTGTGATTTGAAAAACATTTACGAGAGAACTCTCATCTTGCCCGAGTGTGTGGTGGCCTTTCCCAGAGTCCTTCAGTTAAGAAAAGTAAATACCGTTCTGCCTTACTCTCTCTCCCAAAGACAAACATCCCATGCTTTTGAATCACAAGGCCTTACAAAGTGGTAGCATTACTTCTACTTCCAGCTGTGGGTGAGTCTGTCTTGAACTGTCCTCTTCTCCACAAAGATGCATCAAGAGCTTAATAAGGTTATTTTAAATAATATCTTCTGAAAGAGTTGTCTAATTGTATCTACCAATTACTGTCTAGAAAAAGCTACAGACAAAACAGTAAGTTTTTTCTGAAGATCCTTTCCTGATTTTAACACTATTTTCTTGGGAAAAAATAGGAAAGAAGTTGTGTACTCAACAGATGATAGAGGAAAGATATAAAATATTGCAGGCAGATTAACCCTGAGGTCAGAAAGCAAATTTTGGACAAGAAATGTAATGAATCTCCGCCGAAGTAGCCTGACAGCATTGTAAGATTTAAGCCTGGCTACCGCATGGAAATATGTATAATGAATGAAGTGCATATACTCTAGGTGGATGATCAATTTTCAAATCCCTAGTTGTAACTAAGCTGTTGAAACAGAAATGTTAGCTTCGTGAGCTTTAATGCAGAGCCTAAGTGATAGCTTAGTGACAGATGCGGAAGGAGGGAGATATAATGAATATCCAGTTGCAAACTGACATGTCAGTGGCTTCATTCCCTCTCCTGTCAGATATCTTTCAACTCTGCATATTGTAAATGTACCTACAGTCCTTGGATAACACAGATTGATGCAAAGTGTGTTTACAAGGGATGACTTCTTTCCAGACTAATGAGATCCAAGCAGGTAATTTGCAGCATTTGCGAGAGAGATGGTCAAAAATGAAAAGAAGATAATTCAATGAAAAGACCATGTTAAACAGGAGACTTCTCATAATGAGGCTTGAAATAGCATCAGACAGTAGGAAGAGGAATATCCTATGTTCTTGTCAGATGCAATGCAGTGAGACTGATTTCCATCACCTCCTTTCTTTGTCCTCATCTTGCAGCTCCATTGCAAGCGTTTGACAGTGCCCTAATACATCTTCATGTTTGAATTTTGTAAACCCATTTCTCTCTGCCTTTCTCCCCTGTATAGTATTTTTTGGAATGACAACTTGTTTTTTGCTTTATGGGCAGAGGTAGCTCCAGGGGCCTAAAAGAGAAATTGGAGAGCTGCTCCTCCTTTATATATAGGGTGCTGTAGTCAATTTAATCTCATCAAAATCTTGCCAGTAGTAGAATTCATTTTGTTGAGATTTTGCTTGGAGACAAAATGGCAGCGCTTTCGCTTTTCCTCATCTTGGAGCTCAGTCGACTCGTTTTCTTTGCCTTTCTGTGTGTATTTCTTTGGGATTGAGTCTTCCCACTTTGGAAGATATGGGGTACTTTTCAGCCATGTTTTACAAAGCAGCTAGGCAATTACTTGAGGAAAACATGAGAATTACAGCTAACCTGGATGGTAAACACACAGAGTATTGAGGGGTTTAGCCACCTCTTTGCTTATCAAAAGCAAATCAAAACACCTGATTTCTTTGCATGTTCCTAAATTCCTGATCTGCCACAGAACTGAAGCTCACACTCGGGTGTAAAGTCCTGCTAGTCCTGTTAAAAATCTGCTGTCTGTGAAACAAACCTTCCTCATCGTTTCCTTAATGACGATGCAGTGGCAGTGCAAGCCTGCACTGACAGGAGAGGGCTGACAAGCTGGTTTGGGCATCCTCAGCCCTCCCTGCTGCCTCTGGCATTGGTTGCGGGCTTTCAGCAAGGGGATGAACAGTAAAAGCCTCTCGTATGTGGTCATCGGCCAGGAGACTGGGCAGGTGTCCACCTCTTGCTGCACAACAGAAGCATGGACTGCTTGGCCTCTGCTCGCTTTTGCTGAACAAGGAATCACAAGCCAGAAGAAATAGTTGTCACCTTTCTGTCTGCAATATTGTTCCAATTCTTGAAATAGGGAGTGGGACAGGAATCTTTCCGCTTGTCCCTTACGTGAAAGGTCTCGTCTTGGGCTGTCAGCAAAGCTGACATGCTCTTTCATGAGTGCCTCCTTTTGCCTGGTGCTTGGTAGCTGTGTGCTCCTCCTGCTTTGTGCACCTTGCGCTTGAGAATAGCTTACAGGGAGGTATCACTGAGGAGTAAGTCCTGGAGCGCCCTGCCCACAGGTTTGTTGCTGTCTGCTTCGGGAAGAAAGGTGTCTACACCCCCGGCAGTGTAATCCTGTGGACAGCTCACAGTTTCGGCCTCAAATACGGGAGATTTTCAATTCACTGTCTCCAATTCCTCCTACCTGTGTACTGAGCCCGAAGAAACACGCATTGGGGAACAGTCTTTGGGTTATGTGGTCTGAAACCCTGAGTAGTTTTCCTTCTCCAGAATATGCCCGATAATCTTGGCTGTATCGAAAGTGGAATAACACCAGGAAAGCTCTGTGTGTTTGTGTGTGTGTGCCAGAAGCTCATCAGCTGCAGCGGCTGCTTTTGTGTGTGTGTGTGTATGCGAGGGTGTGTATGTGTGTGTTTGTGTGTCTAAGGTTGGGTGCTTAAATGCTTTGTTGCATTATGTTAATTCCTCGGCAGTGCAATCAAATTCATGTCGTAATTAAAGCTGTCAGTTGGAAGGCAAGCCAATCGCCAAGAAAACACAGCATAACAAATGAAGTGAAATGATTCTGCGTGTAGCTATACAATGCTTCGCCAGGCATGAAATTAAATAAGTAATTTGATGTTGACATCAGAAATTGAAATGATACCCACTGTTCCTTCATTCAGTCAGACCTGCATAAACAATAGCCAGAACAAATATGTACAACACAGTCTTTCTCCCCACCCAGCTCCCCAAGTAATGCACAATATATATGCAAAATGGGTATAACTGTGCCTTCCAAGACCTCAAGGATGTAATTTTCTTTGGTACACAGTAAACTAATGCTTACACAAGGGTTACTACATTTTTGCTTCTGGGCCAAAAGTTCTTCTCTTTAAGAAATGGGGGAAAATAACCAAACCAAAAAACCTAAACCATGTTAATTTTAAGCAAGTGACTTGCATTTTGCTGATGGGCACCTGATGCAGGCTTCTGCTGGTGGTTGTGTGAATATCAAATAGTGTATCTAATGTCGAATTTTGCAAAGGGTTTCGGAAAGTGAAACCATTACCTCTATTATAGGCACACTTTATATAAGAGATGTAGAACCATCCAGTGCAGGATCACGACTCAGCATGGGCTTGTAAAGATGCTGCACATACAGTATCTCATTCATCAGTTGGTACCAAGGCTGGGCACTGGGTAGTAGGATCCTTTCGCTATTGGGAGTTATCAAAAAAGGTGAGAAGCTGTCTTCTTGCATAGCCCTTGCTTCAGCCTATACGCTCTGTCAACACACAGTTCACAACACAGCTGACTTAGTCATTCATGCATGTGCAATACAGTCTTTCTTACTTCAATTAAAAAGAGTTTGCAAACTGTACTATCCATATGCAGCATGCAATGTGTGAAGGGCTATATTTCCATCCGGCAAACTCAAATTCCCTGAAAACGCACAGTTGTTTCTTTTCAGTGAAAGTCATTTGACTGCTATGTTTCAACTGTCCTCCCATAGCCATTGCAGCATTGCTTTTGAAGGAATGGAAATACTCAGTGGGAAATATTTTGTTTGCTTATTCTTTTTTCTTCCTTCTTATTGTTTTGTTTTGATACTTGATCCTTATAAAACTTGGAATAAAAAGCAGACAAAAATTACACCCAGATGCAGAATGCAAACTTTGAAGCTTTCAGCCTGTAAAGTAAGTTTTAAAAATTGTGATTGAAAGAGTGGGACTCGATTGGCATCTGTACATGGCTTAGCCAAAAGTAATAATGATGTTTGCACTTTTTGTACTTTGTGGGTAGATCTCTAGCTTAAATTAAAAGAATGGAAATGGAATGAAGCAGAAAGCAGTATGGGTAAAGGCAATATATATTATGTGCTTTACCAGGAAAGTGAATGCATTAGAAGCTAAACCGGAGTGTGCTGAAATGCACACTCTACCGGGTGTTGCAGAGCTGCAGTGGCTCACAAAACCATAGTATGTGGCCCGTGAAGGGGACTTTCTAGCTGGAAACCATAGCCAGGCCATGCTATGACTGGGGCTGTGGCGGTTACCAGGTTATTCCCAGCTGCATGGTCACAGAGACATAGAGGAGAGCAGGACAGTCGGGCTGAGCCCGGGGGCCTCAAGGCCGTGTGCTCCCAAATTTGCAGTGCCCATCCCTCTGCGCCGCAGTGTGGTGCTGCTGCAGAGATGCTTGCAGGGACATCGTCACCGGGACCATGTGGGATGATAGTGGCACAGGGAGCTGGAGGCCCCAGAGCACGCTTGCAGGGACATCGTCACCGAGACCACGTGGGATGATGGTGGCACAGGGAGCTGGAGGCCCCAGAGCAGCACGAGTGGGGCTAGAAGGACTTAGGAATTTATTGATTTCTGTAGAGATCCCCTTGCGCTCTTGGTAACCAACTCTGTAGACTGCAGATCTGGAGTCCTTCAGTAGCTGCAGCATAGAAGATAGAGAGAGCATTAAGGGGCAGGAACCACATCCCTTCCAAATTTCCATAGCAGTTTTGTTTGTTCGTATAAGATGTCCCAAGAGAGTTTGTTGATTTTATGATATTGGTACTCTTACGACTACCAAGGTGATTTCCTCTTGCTAAGTCTTTGCCTTCTAATGGCTTAAACCAGAAGGCCATTCCCTATATGTGTGTAACCTCCCTAAACATCTCTTTAGTAGTGCTTTGGTGAACACACAGTCATATTCTGATTATTTGCAATGGGTTTTATTGCTAATTTTAGTTTTCTTGGCACAATCTATTTCTGCCGTGCCGAGTTCAGTAAAAAAAGATACCATAAGCCCCTTGTTGGGGTTTATTTTCCTTTATGTCAGTGCTGCGCTCCATGGTCAGAAATCGAGAGAATTTGCTGTTAGGGTTCCCTGCAATAGTGTCTCAAAACAGGGGTGACAGTGATGGAAATTGTGCATGTTTCCGATGGTTTGTCCAGGCTGGCTGGGGCCCCTGTTCAATTCCTAGGGATCACTGAGCTGTGTCATTACTGGAAGTGCGGTGGTGCTAAGGAAGAGAAACAGGAACTGAGCTGTAGGAGTTAAAGACTGGTCAGCTGGACTATCCACTGCTCACTAGAGAATTATCCCCTGCGGTTTGCTGCCTTGTCCATTGACTCGCCTGGCTTGAAGCGTTTCAGGCGATAGGACCGTCACACTGGAAACTGTTCACCCTTTAATGTAACAGCCAGTGACCTGGATTAGGGCTGAGATGGTCAGGTCTCACCATGTCTCTAAGAGAACCTGCTGTGTAATCCCCATTGCTTAGATGAAAAACTGATGAAACAAAACCCTTAATCTCCTTAATTCCTGGGAATGTAGAGGTTGTGATCGTGTCCACTTAAATTGAATTTCATAATGCATTTTTTTAAGCATTTAAACCTTTTAATTATTTTCCATGTTAGTAATATTAATTTTAATTATTTTTATAGATTGGAGTTTTGAAGTCTGTTTCTCTCTGTAGATATTTGTTGTTTATTTTTTCTTGTCTTTTCTTTTTTGTTTTTAAATTCTTGGTTTGTCAAACTGTGGACATCCAAATGGGAAATTGTAGTGGCTGCATTCTTCAGGAAATGGTACATTGACTGAAGCGGCTTCTCTATGCCCAGGCGTTCTTTACATTTCAGACTACTAATTATGTTTACAAAATGTCTCATTTTAGAAAAGCACTATGTGTGTACTAACCAGGGCCTTTCGGGAATAAATTGGCAAACAGGTCATACACTGAAAAAGTCATCCAAACCCACCGGGCTTTTTGTTTTGAAGTCAGACTAGGTTTTTTTTCTTTTCCCCCTCCTGCCTGCCCCTTTGTGGCCACAAAGCTGAGTAGCTGGAGTCCAGGGCATTGAATGTCAGCATGTCAGGGAGGCTGGTTGATGAGTGTCTGTTTAGTCTCAGTGCAGGGCGAAATGCCATCATTAATTCATTACCCAGCTGCCTGTCAAATAAATTGGCAATTACGTCCACCGCAGAAGCTTGGAATTCAGTAAATAGCACGTTACCATCTCAGAGTCGTTGAGAGATGTAAAGGGAAAAATTAAGCAACACCGTGTTTGTTTCAGTAGCGGATGACAAGGGGCAGCACATTGGTGCTGTGATGTAGTGATGAAAAGCTTGGAAAGGACTGGTAATGAGCTATGTGGATTGGAACGTGTTAAAAACCATCACTGACTTTCCACTTTGTCTTTGTGTTTTATTGCAGAGCTCAGCTCCTTCCAGCTTGGGAACAGGCTACTTTGTAAGTGTATCTCAACTTTAACACATGTGCCTCTGAGCAGCATAGCGTTACTCCTGAAACAGAAGGGCCTTATTATGTGGAAACAAGCATAAATAACCGGTCTTAGTCTGCCCAGTAGGTTAACTTCTCTTTCTGTTTCTTCCTCCACAAATGCGTTAGAAGTAATGTTTCAGTCATGGTGGTCAGTGTTTTCCTGAACTAATCAGGTGTCATATTAATTACTACATAAATTCCAGCAGTATTTAATTTACACAATTATAGGAAATAAAATGAACCGTAGTCTTACCAGCTTTCTAATCTGAGATGGTAGGATGTTGGTTTCCCCTTGTACCAGTTCTCGTTGACTCATAGACTTGAAAGAGCCTGTGCCGGCAGTCTTGTCTCGTCTCCGGCGTACCACAGTCCAAAGAACATGACACAGTGATTTCTACTTGTTGGTTAAAAGTCCTGTCTCACAGGTGATTTTGGAAAATGCAGAAGTAATTGTATTTATGCTAAATCTACATTTTACATCATGAGAAGAGGATCAGGCCGCAGCTGGTTTGTAATTGATCAGTCTTTTTTGTTATTTATTTGCATGCCCCTTTATTGATTTGACAGTCTATATCCGTACTTTTGTATCTGGTTGTTGCCACATTCATCAATATACCTTTTACTTGCACAGAGAATTTTGGGAGTAAAGAATGTTTTCCAGTCAGTCCAACGCACTGTTTATTTTCCTCTAAGATTTTTATTTAAATTGCTCGTATCCTGTTTCACTTGTAACTTATGCTATATTCCCCAAGCATGTCTTTGCTGCCTTTCTAATATCTGTAGGAGAAATTATGTATGTCCAAAAACAGGTGGGTAAAATGCAGTGAGACTTTTTCTGTGGCATTGCTCTATATAGTTAATAATGTAATCAAAGCCTGCTTCTATCTTTTCATCAAACTGAGGAAAAAAATCCGATATATTATTCGATTACATGATGGAAAAAGTTTGCTGCTCTGTTGTAAAATTTCAGAGAGTAATTTTCTTTTATTAGTACAGGGTGCAGTTTACTCGTTTTTCATAGAGTCTGTGATCCTATAAGAAAGTTATGGGATTAAACTGTGTACACGTGACCTTACATGTAAAGTGTAAAATGCAAGCACAAAAATTGCTTAATTCCTGGAGAAATGCTGTGCCCTGCTGTATTTACATTGGACTTCTGCACAAACTGGATGTTCGTACTTCTGCCAGTGGCAAGGTATTGAAAGAGCCTTATTAATGGAAAAAAAGTTTTGTGGTAGTTTTTCTGATTATATCAAACCCCAAATCAGTGTAAGGTAAGTTGTGAAACAGGAAAAAAATGCTTTCCTTTTTTCAGCACTTCCCCTGTTTTGTGTTGTATGTATTTTGAAGAGGGAGGGGATGAAGGGAAAAATAATATTAAATGGCTCAATGTTTATTTTGCATGAAGACTAAAACTTGAACATCTTTCCATAGTTCAGAGCGAATTGCTTTCCATTGGCTGGGCACTTAAAATTCAAATCATATGAACATATACAGACGTGCTGTGGAATGGGACAAATATAATATGGGATGGAGGGCTTTAGCATGTATAAATAAGCCTTTTTCTCCTTATAGCGGGAGCTGAATATGCATGGTTTAGGAACAATGTTCAGCTTCATCTTTAGGAAGCAGAGGTAACAGAAGAAAAGCCATCTGCTGTTCCCTTGCACCATACTGTCTGTGGGTTGGTCCAGTAAAGTGAAAATCTGGAAGGTGTCAACATTCCCTATGCTCCAGCAAAAAGCTTGAAAGTTTCCAGTTCTCCCGAGTTAGGGATTTAGTAACAAAAAGAAGCTTGATCTCTTCTAGCGCCAATGTGTTGGCACTGTAAATCACACTAGTTTGGATCTGTGTAGGTGGGGGATACATCCCTTGTTAGGTTCCATTAGTACGATATATTTAACTGCACTGTTTCTTATGTCTGGGCATAGTAATAAGATTTGTTTAACTTTTTCTTACTTCACTAATAGCTGGGTATATAGAAAACATGCTTCAGTTTCTTTCATAAAGCCATTTTTATACTTACAGAGTCTTGGATGAAACGTGGAGGGTTTTATCCTCTCTTTTTGCTTTGGAAAATTGTTTTTACGATTATCTTGCTTATTGTTTTAAAAAAGTCCATACCCTTATTAACTTACATGGGGCAAATAAAACCCAGATGTGTTTTGCAGTACCAGACAATGAGAAAAATGCTCCAGAATGATCCAATTAGCATGTGTTTCTGATAAATGTAATTATTGTATTATCAAAGTGCAAAAGAATATGCACAGAGTTGACTTCTTTTTTCCAAAGCTTTTAACTAGAAAAGACTGTTAGTTCTTGTGTTTAGTGGTAACTCAGAACATCAAGATGAGGATCAGTGGTCTCAAATAAAACAACAGTAGTTTTTCATTTAATAGATAATAACAAAGCTTTTGCCTGTGGAAATTATTGATCACTATATGCTGTATTTTGGACTGCAAAATATCGCATACTGTAGCGCATCAAAGGAAATATGGGCAAACAGGTAAGTTAAAATTGACTAACAGTATATTCACTGTCCAAGCACATCTACTACAGAAAGCAGAAATACAGATGGAAGCAGGTTTTATTCAGAAATCAGTCAACACTGAGGTATGGTTGAAGTAGGTTATGTTTGCTGTTTAAATGCAACTGTTAATGGAATCTTTGTGTGAGGCACGTTACCTAGTATGTACGTAATGGAGATAATACTTACTGGACTTGGAATCTCCTCTAAGAACCATGCTCATGGCAGGCACTCGGGTTTGATGGGTGGTGGGTCATGTGTCTGCAATGTTTGTGGGTGCTGTGCATGCCACAGCAAAGGAAGAATTACTTTTGGGTCCTTTTGTTCTGTACAGAGCCTCTTGAGGTCACTGAGTGTTTAAGGCAATGTTTATAAACCTGACACTTCCCAGTAATACAAAATAATTTTTCTAATATCTGTATGATTGTTGCACCCTAGTAATTCATTATGCACTTCCAGCAGTAGTGGTGAAGGCTGAAATCTTCCTTAGTTTTATGCTATAACTAGGTAAATTTCTGAATGGCAAAGTTGGAAATGGGATTCTTATGTTCTTGTTGCTCTTGAAAAGCAGTAGGTAGAGGAAAAATGGACATGCTCTGGGGAGGGCCTGTTTGACAACCCATCTTCGCTATGAAGTCAATGGAGAGGGTTGGGAATCTCCATTAAGTCATTCAGCCTAATTCGTGCTTAACTGGGATGATCAGAACTGCCATTGATTAAGGAGACTTTCTAACTCAGTGCCTTCAGCAAAGTGGGACACGTGCGAGTAACCACTGAATGAGTGTTAATGATGCAAAGCTGTTGAGGAGTTCTAAGTGCCTCTCCAAGTTTTCTTCAGTTAGGAACAACTTATCTTCTACTTCGTTCACAAGTGTGAGTACGTTCAGTAGATTTTGCTGAAAAGCTGTTTTCATTGTTGCTGAAATCTGTGACCTGTCTTGGCGCTCCTTGTCAGAGTGGACACTTCCCTATCCTTTTTACATAATATTAAATCAGAGGTCAGAAAAGGAGAGACAGAGGTAAATACCATTCTAATGCTCCTATAAGCCTTTTATACTGGCCTGACTTTATTATTTTCCATGGGATCAGTCCAGTCTATGACTGGTGCATGTGAAAAAACCCTTGGACATGCTGTTAATATTGGTGCACCCTAAGAAATCATACCTAAATGCTTCCTTGAAAATCTCCCAGTTGTCTTTGATAATTTTTGCATTGCAAATTGTCATTGTCTCTCATCAAAGATAGATTATAAGGTAGATTACATCTCATCGAGATGATTATCTGTTCTGACTTAGATCAGATAATTGGAAAGTAGTTAGAGCTTTAGGAAAAAGCCCACCTTTTTATCTTTAAAACAGAAGTTATTTGAATTTGAATTATGTGAATTTTTAGCATTGTCCAGTTGTCTATGATTTCAGGAGGCTGAGAGAGATGTTTTGGAATATGAGTGGAGTTTGAATAATAGTAAAAGCGTTTTCTCTTACCTGAGTATAAAGAATGATTTTTGCCAGTTTTCTTTGTATATCTTACACCCAGCCAAATTCGTGTTAAAGGATACAGGTGGTTCATTGGCTTGCAACACAAAACAGAACAGAAATCAAAACCTAAATAACTGAGTATTTTATTTTTAAATAACAAACCTAATTCTCAAGATTTTCAGGTTCTTTGGCAATTGTACAGTTTCTTGTTTGTGGCAACTCATTTCCATTTCTTGTATTGGTCTGCTTCTCAAGTCTTGGTGGCAATTTCTGAGGGGTTTCTGTTCTTTTTTTTTTTAATGTTTATTTTTGCTTAGCAGTTTTTTCCCCAAAAAGCACAGAGTTTGTGGGTTTTTCAGAGCTGGATAGAATTTTGTAATAAGCTGGTGATGGAAGCAGTATTGGGGAGTTGGAAGGGAGAAGGAACCTCCTGTGACACTTTTTTTCCAAACAATGCTCTTGGTCCACCTTAAAAAAGGGAAGAAAACCAAAAAATGTGATTTGCACATGGGCTGGTGACTCAGACAAACATGAATCGTGAGCATATTCCCAAAGGCTCTAGCTAATCAGTTGTGCTATCCAATTTGGCCCTGAGTGGGTTCAGTTCAGCAGATGTTTGCGTAGTTACAGCATGCCACTGGGACACTGTGTTGTGCAATGTTGCATTACATTACTCAGAGCTCTAAAAACTCGTCCCAAGGAGAATAAGCGGAGCACCGGCGGTATTAGTATAGTGATGATGGAAAACCAGTGTCTGGCCTAGATAAGGCCAGCTATATCACTATGCAGTAGGACTGATGGTCACCTGCGACATTACCTTATAGGAGAAATGTGGAATTAGGTATACCAGCACATTCTCTGGGCTCATATTCTCAGATAGAGCCCTTGAAACCAGTAGATTTTTCTTCATTGCCTGGCAGTGATCCTAAGTAAACCTATGTTTTGTTCTTTGAGGTGGTCAAATTTGTGATGCTGCTGACTCT